TCTCTGTGGCGAAGACGAAAGTGATACTGACAGTGAAGACTCCTAGGGTCTAACACACATGGTTAAAATAAAGTAATTTTCATATTTTGTGGTACTCTCTTGGAGGCCCCAGTCAGCAATTGTGCGTGTACCAAACTCTTCGGTTTTGGAAGGTTCAGCATATTTGTAGACCGCGGGTAGAATAAAAACAACTCTCTACAAAGCCAATAGACGAGAATATCCGAGGTCCAGGAAGCAGTTTAGAAGGAGAAGAAGAAGCGATCACTGGAACAAGAGTTTTCTTGTCCTGACTTTTCAGATTCGGTCGGGAATCCTTAGTCATAGGTTATCGTAAACAAGTCTGAGTCATGAGCAGATAAGGGGTGATATATGCACAGATTGCAAGGTATTTATATTTATATTATATATTTATAAATACCGTGCAATCCGTGCATGTATCACCCCTTATCTGTGCATGACTCAGACTTGTTTACGGTTACCTATGACTAAGGGTTACCGACGGAATCTGAAACGTCAGGACAATAAAACTCTTGTTCCAGTGATCGCTCTTCGTCCTGTTCTTCTCTACAGAGCGCTAACAAAGGGTTTTTATCCTTTTTTAACGAGGCAGAGTTAGACCTTAGTGGACAAACAGCGATTTTTAGGGGAAATTAAAAGGGACTTGCTTGGATCCTCCATAGCGCACGAAATAGCATATCTCGCCAGCAGTCGTGTTCGCCTAAAAGGGGTGAAAGCAGAAGTCGGGAGAAAAAGAGTGTCTGTTAAAAAATCATTCTAGCAAAGAAAAAATACGCTTTGGTGAGGAGGAGAAAATGTTTAATTTTTTATATCGATTGGTGTACTTGAATAATCTTACAAAAGACGAACAAACTTGGGATTGCAAAACCGACCAGCAACCATAAATATCTCTTGACAGTCTGGTTTCAGGTTCATTATGCTTACGTTGTATAAGTACCTAGTTTATTCTGTAGTAGAAAGCATGTTTTCCTCACCAAAAAGGTGCGACAGCCTATCCACGATACACTCTACACACGGAACTCTTTAACATCCTGCGATTATTTTTATCTTCAGTAGTTTAGTTTAGTTTTGACTGTCGTTTTATTAAGGTTTAATTTATCAGTCTTATTTTAGTCTACTTCTTTGCACAGTTGCCCAATTTCCCACTGGTTGCATTATTCATTTTAATTACCGTGTACTTTTTGTTGTCAAACACTAGGTTATGTAACCAATGTATTACCGGCAAACGTTAGGACTGCGAAATACGCGTATTTCTGGGTCATTACCTATCGTCAGTCGCAGTTACTCGACTCCAGTATAGCCACAGAAACTGCCACAACGCTCGAGTTTCGAACCCGCGACCAGTGAGCTAGAGATGAACGTCATATCCACTGAGCCAATGGGTCGACGGCTTTGCCGGTTGTCGATCGGGATAAAGATTAGCACATAGGTGTACTCCGATCTGGTCCAGGATTCACATAGTCGCGGGTTCGGAACTCGAATGAAGCGGCAGTTTCTGTGACTATACTGGAGTTTGGTAGGTACTGCCGATGACGGCCAATAAGCCAGAAATACGCGTATTCAGTAC